AAAAAAAAAAAAAAAAAAAAAAAAAAAAAGAAAAGAAAAAAAGAAGGGTATACAAAGAAACAAGAAAAACAAAAGCATTATCAAGAGGTAAAGAGTTATCAAAAGAGGAGTTTAACTTGCTATGATTATTATGCTTAAATGCCCTAATTGGAAAGGTGGATAATGTATAATGAATGAGATGGGTAATTTCCACAGAAATTATACAAAGAATGAAATGTAAATACTAGAATTGAAAAACTGAACATGAGGGATGAATAATGTTTTTAATAGGCTCATATTAATAGTAGACCTGAAATAGCCAAGGAAAAACATAAGTGAATTTAAAAATAGATCAATATAGGGCCAGAGATTTAGCTCAGTGGCACCGCACCAGCCTCGCAAGCGCAAGGTCCTGAGTTCGATGCCTGGTACCACAAAAAACAAACAAACAAACAAAAATAAATCAATATAAATTATCTAAATTGAAACAAAAAAAAAAACTAGAGCAGAATATCCAAGGGCTATGAGGCAGTATCTGTCTAAAGAGCATGTGGTTAGAAATTCAGAACAAGAAGAGATAAGGGAGAAAATTTTAAGAATGAATGCATTTACATTTATATATATTCCATTATATTCCATTTTCCTTGCTCTTTGTTTCTTTTACAGATTCAAGGTTCTATCTAGTGTCATTTTTGTATGAAGAAAAAATGCCTAACATTTTGCATACTGTGAGTCCTCTGAAAAAAAATTCTTCTCATTTAAAAAAATTAAAAATAAAATAAAATTGGCAGCTTGTGCCTGACTGCTCAATGACATGGGGAATGCAGCCTCCTACCCTTGTTCTTTAGAACCAGGAATCTGTAAGTTTGAGTTTTAGGTTGAACATATGAAATTGCTAGTGCTCACCTAATATTTTTTTAACCTGAAAAAATGGAAACTGCATAGAGTATATCCTAATAAAAGGCCCTGGCTTGTAAGATATTCTGCACCTTACACAAAGCCACCTGGAGACTGTTTGGGCACACAGGCTGCTGTTCTGCATCTCCTCCTGGCACAGCCCATGAGAATTTCCACAGCCACATGGGAGAGGGACAGGTTGCTTTGGAGCCAGACGCTCAGGTCCTCCCATAGGAAATGCTCATGAGCATTCACAGACCAGCATTCCTGCTTCTTTTGACTCAGGATGGTTCAATTATACCTGAAATCAGTGTGCACCTTTTACAGTAGCCAGGTAGCCATCTTGAATGGCCAGAAGCTACTGGCTTTTTAGGTCAAGATTAATAACGCATCTCTTTTGCTTTATTTGTTACCTAAGTCCATAAAGTTATTTATCAGTACATATATATAATTTATAAAAGCTCATAATATGATTATATCTATGCTTTTTTCCTTCTCTGAGCACACCCTTTCCTCCCACTCCCTCTCCACAGTAGCACCAACCCACAAAATGGCTGGTCATGACCATATATGTGCTTTGTAGGCCTTCTGCACTCCCATAGCCCAGCACAGTCATAGAATCAATACAATCCCATAGAAAGATTCTTGTTCCTTAAAACTTAAATCATATTTCATCACAATACCTCGTATCTTGTATCATGTTATCTTAACATACTCTAGAATCCTCTACAATTCAGCTATTCAAGCCTTAATGCAGTCCTCTAAAAGGCTGCACACAAGTTTACAGTGTCTACACATTTATTCAGTCATCCACCATGTCTTTTTTTGTTTTTGCTTTCAGACAGTCTCACTATGTAGCCCAGGTTGGCCTTGGCCTCTCAAATGCTGGGATTACAGGCATGTGCCACCAAGCCCAGCCACGTCTGATAGTCACTTTTCCACCAGTTTCCTGCTACAATGAAAAGCAGTGGGGTAAACACTCTAATATATGTCTTCATATTCTAGTGTCTTCATTTGTGTGAGCTGGCTGAGCCACGGAGTACATACAGTTTTAATTTTAATAGCTGTTACAGTTTGGGGCTTAAACGCCCCTCAAAGGCTCATATGTGTAGAAGCAGGGCCTTCAGAAAGCGAATGGATTCTGAAAGCTACAAATACCCTCTTGATGAAATTATATTTTTGATGGCATTACTGAAAGTGATGGAAATTAGAGGTGGGGCTTATTTTAAGGAAATAGTTAGTGGGATGTGACCTTGGAGATAATATCTGGACCCCAGCCCCTTCTCTAATTCTTTCCCTTTTATTCTGTTTCCTACCTGCAATGAGGTAAGCAGCCTTTCTCCACCACAGCCTTCCGCCATGATGCTGTACCTTTCCACAGGCCTAGAAGCAGCCGAGCCACGTGGCTGTGGACTGAAACCTACGAAACTGTGAGCCAGAATAAATCTTTCCTCCTTAGACTGGTTTTTCTCAGGTATTTGGTCAGAGCAACAAAAAATTAGCTAACATAGGAAATAGCGACTGGGCCTTGCTTTGTCAGAAGTGTTGAGATACAGCCCCTGGTAATTCTTCCCGAGAGCAGAGCAATGGCCCGAGGATACACAAGCCTCAGAGCTGTTCCCTTTACCTGCTGTAGCTGTGGATCAGATCGAAGATCATCATGTCTGTGGTGTTCACAAACTTGCACTGAACGGGCATGAACTCCCCCTCTGGAGAGCACTGTGGGGGGGACTTGTCTCCCACGCCATGCAGCAGACGACGGTTTCTAATCTCACAGCTCCTGGGACCTAAACATTTTCAAACAGTGTTAAGTTCCTACAGGTGGGGAGGTGCCGGGCCGCCCACTGTGCTGGTGCCCCGTGAGACTTACACCGCGTTGGTCTCCCCAGCTGGCGGGTACCATACACCTCCATCCCCTCCGTGTCCACACACCAGCACTGCACCTGCCCCAGGTCACACTGCACAGTCGCGTAGTCCCCTGAGTCCCGACACTGAGGGACGTAGGACGTGACCGTGCTGTTGATGTAGCCGCTCAGCAGGACCCGCTGACTGTGCAGCTGGCAGAAGGACAGGCCTGAGGGTGCAAAGCGCAGCGTCAGAGGGGCGCTGGAAGGCTCTTGCGCCCTGGGGAGTGAGGGCCAATATCGCTAGCGTCACGCATCAAGCATATATCCTGACTCCCTGGCTCTGCAGCTGGGAGACTCGGGCCAGCGCTGACAGAGCTTGTCCAAATCCGGATTCTGCCCATGCGTGAGCTTGCTGAACGACCTTGGAAAGCTGCTCCTCTTCTCCATGCTTCCTTCTCCTCATCTGCACAGTTGGAAGCCACCTGCCTCGCTCAGGTGCATGAGGGAGAGTGGCCCAAGAGTTGGCCCCCTGAACACCTACTGTGTGCCAGTGAGCTGTGTGTCTATAGCCTCGTGTCACCGGGAGGCAGATTCCATATGCACAGGGCAGAGCCAGGCAAGGCATGTGGTGCTGCGCCAGAGGGTAGGGACCCGGCGGTGCCTGCCACATAAAAGCACAGCTCCAGCAGACCTGCCGTTCAGTAAACAGTGACTTTCTTTTTAGGCTCAATTTCATCATTGTAAGTAATCAATTTGCACTGATGTCTGTTTGAGAGATACACCGTGCCTTGAATGGAGACTGCACTTCTTTGGCTACTCACTGTATAATTATTTTAACTGCAAAGCTTTTACTCAAGTCCTAAACCCCACAGCTACCCCATACCACAGGTGAGAAAACACTCCCAGTTTTCAGGGCCACTTTCTGGTTCCTGGGCACTGTGACGTCTCCTTGTCGATATTGCCTCAGCGCCTAACACCCTGGAGAATCTCAGCAGCTATTTGCTGAAAAGTGGACTCAAATGTCTCTGATTCTCCAGTGATGCTCTTGAGAGTTAGCTGAGCATAGTGCACAAGGATTCCTTCTGTGGAGAGGAGAAAGCAGAAGCCCCAGGGGAGGCCTGCCTGTGACCCCAGCCGCCATGCCCAGTGCTCCTTCTGGGGTGTGAGGCACCCCAGCAAGGCCCCTCCTTCCCACCCAACCACTTCCCACTCACAGGCTGTTGGCCTCCCTGGCTGCCTGCTGCCTGGAACTTCCCTGCCATCAGAATCCACACACCAGCAGAAGCGGCCGTCATTTAGGCACTGGATGGTCCTGAGGAGGGACAGAGCAGGTGACACCGGTATAGTTTCCCTAAGCTACACACAGCCTCCAAGATGGTGAGGCAAGAGGGCAGCAGATGGCACAGGGGAGAGCTGGGTGGGATGGAGATGGAGCTGGCTCCCAGGGAAGCGATAGTCAAATGGATACCTTCGGGAAGGCAATGGGGTGCTGGGGGTAATGGCAATGGGTGTGCAGGTAAAAAGAAGAGTGTGTGCAAAGCTTCCTGGGGACAGGGAGGCCTGAGCTTGCCAGGCCCTGGAACAGCGACCTGGGAATAAAAGCCTGCACAGGCTAGTAAAAGCAAGAACTCTGCCTAGCACCCTCCTAGCAGAGGCTGCGCTGGGAGCAGTGCAGGAAAATACAAAGCATGGAAAGACACATAAAGGATTCACAGGATGTGGGGGGCACTGTTGTCCTGGAAAGCACAGCCACACACAGAGTTCCCTGGATCAGCATGGCTGCCCAAGAAAGAAACATCCAATGTTTCAATTGGATGCACTCTACAAGGACTCTCCGCATCTACTCGACAAGGAAGAGTTGTTTACCTTCTCCTCGTACCAAGCTTGTGCGAGGTAGCCATGAAACTACGGGTGGTCAGGCAGCCATGGACGCAAAGGTGTAGTCAGTATGTGCTTCCCTCCACCCAAAATAGCTTGTGGGAATGGAGAAGGTGTCAAGGAGCCCCTTTTCATGCTTTACTAAAGCACACAGACACTTTTCATTAAAGCGACCCAGGGTTACTGGGCTGACAGGAAGAGAAGGGCTATCACCGCTCAGGGGGAGGGCAAAGTTGAGGTCTCCCAGTCACGCTGACCGGTGTTGACTTAGTCTGGAAAATTAAGAAATAGTCCTCTAAACAGTAGCAGCCACTTCCCAAAACATGGCAGTAGCTGGAGGGTACCACATGGGTAGCATTGGCAGGGGTGGGTACTGGGAGACCTCACTGAAGTCAGCCTTACTGGAAGCTGCCGTCTTCAGAGCACTGGGGAATATAATTCATCTGCTGCAGGAAGGCCCTCTCCCTCTCCAGCTCACAGGGGCGAAGCGGCTGGGCATCCACCTGGTATTCTGTGCAAAGAGAAGAGTTCCTGAGAGCCAGGCACAGGCAGGTCTGGACAGGCTCCCTGAAAGTGGCTGCTTTTCTGACTGTTGCGGTTTGCCAGCAGTGGGGCAGCCCTGCACTCGGTTTCCAGTGGAATATTTGCTCATTTCAATCCCCTACACGCTCCTGGGAGGTGAGGGGTAATAGCTCCATTTACCCATGGAGCTCCAAGGCTCCGGCAGTGAAATCGACACTTCGTTCAGCCCAGCACTGGGGCTGAGGTCAGAAAATGATGAGAAGGTAATCCTTGAACCTCTCCAGCTGATTCCTGTGGAATCCTTGCACACAGTGGGAATGCAGAGCGACTATTGACATCTGCATGCCTGTTACTCACTGAGAACCACATAACACCGGGGCTTTTGCTGAGAAATCACCAACCAAGGCAAGTGACGTTTGTCACTTCTTAGTGAAGATGCTGCAGCTTGGCAGTTTATCCAAAGAGAGGAGATTAGAGTGTGAGCCAAAATGGAGGTCTATTTCATTCTACGGGTAGATTTTTGTCTACTGCCTGCTTGCTACTTCTCAAATACACACATGGATGACATAGACTCTGAGGTAGCTAAAACCTAATTTCAAGCCAAACATTTAACACAGCATTGAGGGGAGATAGAATTCAATTAGGAAGATACGGTTTCCTCTCTTCCCTCTGTGAATAACTAGCTCTGTGACCTCAGGAAATTCACATCGTCGCCCTGAACCTCTGTCTCTTCACCTGAAAAAAAGAAGAGCGAATAGCCCACCGCTGGACCCTTTGTGAGGATAAATGAGATCACACATCTAATTAACCAGCCAGAGCCTGGTTGGTCCTAGAACTCTGTGCCTGAAGGCTCCCTCCCTCCCTGCTCCATGCCTTAGCCTGAGAACTCACCAAAGATGTTGCCTGATACCAAACAGGCTAAGCCCAGCAGGCCAAAGGCCCACAGCACTAAGGCCATGGTCCTTGCCCTTTCTGGGATGAAGGAGGACTCTCTTCCTAGGTCCTCTGGCCAGGGATCCTTTATAGTGCTGTGGCTGGCACTGCTCTCCCACCTAGAGGCCCTCAGCTGGGCGTTGGCTCACCCTGTTTGCTGTGCTGCTCACCAGGGGCCCCCTCCATCTGCATCTGCTCCCTCTGAGGGCACTTGAGTGGCCAGCAGGGCAGGAGAACTTTGTCTAGACTGTCTACACAGAGCTACAAGGAGCAGCTTCAAAATTCTCCTTTACAAGCCAAGGCCAAAGATCAGTGGCTTTGGGAGTGCCACCGTGGGGGAAGAGCCATCCCTTCTTTCTTCCCTCTCCCTGCTCCATCTGCCCTTTGCCACCTAGAGGATGCAAGAAGGAGTGTCTCCTGGGCAGGTGGGGAGGTGAGCAGGCCCTGCACTGGGAGAACCCAAGGGGGCCCAGGGCAGCTGTGTGGCAGCCGGCCCTGAGCTGGGTGCTCTGGATGGTAAATAGGCTAAATGTGGAAGTGCTTAGTACAGCACTGAGTGTGGAAAAGTGTTCACTATCGGCCACTGTATCAGTCTTCTCAGGCTTTACCACTGATGTCTATTTTCTCACAGTTCTGGAGGTTCGAAGTCCCAGACCAAGATACTGGCAGGGTTCATTCTCCTAAGGCTCCTCTCCTTGATTTGTGTGTGACTGATGTGTCCCATGGTTTTTCCTCTCTACACCTCTGTATCCTCATGTCCTCTTCTCATGAGGAAACCACTCAGATTGGATTTGGGCCCAACCTAGTGACCTTGCTCTGATTTAGTATCTCAGTTACTTTCTCATGACTGGAACACAAATCCTGACACCTGCAACTCAAAGGAGGTAAGGTTTATTTTAGCTCAATTTTTGGTCCATAGTTGGCCAGCTCTAAGGCAGGAAGGCACGATGGAGGGTTTGGCAGAGGAAACTGCTTATCTCATGGCAACCTGGAAACAAAGGAGGACCCAGGGAGGGAGATACACCCTACCAGGTCATGCCCCCAGTGACCCCCTCTTCTGACCAGGCCCTACATCCTAATATCTCATTTAGCCTCCTCAGTCACCTTTCCAAAGCCACACCTATGAGCACACAAGGCTTGTGGGGGACATCTAGCTATAAACCATAACAAATAGATACCTTTTTAAGGACCTTGTCTCCAAATGCAGTCACATTCTGAGGTATTGGGATTTCAACAATGAACTTTAGGAGACACAGCTCAGCCCCACTCAGCTCCTGACACCATTGTTATCTTCAGGATTTCGTGTATAGAAAGTAAAACTCAATAGTCACTCTAAGTTTCAGGGTGTGGGGAGAAAAGCAGATGAGAGACTGGAGCTGGGGCGCAGTGGCAGGGTCCTTGCCTAGCATGTGTGAGGCCCAGGGCTGGATCCCCAGAACTGCAAGAATTATGAATAAATAAATAATGAGTATGAAACTCTGCATGTCCATCCGGGGAGCCCCACATGCCAAGGCTCCCACGCCTTCCTATCTCCAGCTGGCCTTCTCTAGTGGGCTCAAGTCCGCTTTGCCTGGTCACTCTTCACGTCAACACATCTTCCCAAACCACCTCTGCAGCACGTCACACACATGAGGGTAGAGGTGGCTGTCTGTGCTGAGCTCCTTCCTGCCCATTTCTCCTCCATCTCCACAGGCTTCAATCCCACCAGGCAAGTCTCTTTGTAGCTCCACATTCCTGTGACTTTCTCATCCGGCCTTCTCCAGGACCCCACAGCTCAGAACACACACTGACCAGAACAGCTCTGCCCTAACCCTTCCCAGGGCTTCTTCACCATCTCAGGGGCAGCTCTCGGAGACCTGACCCCTCTGCAGAGGGTGAGATGCATCCCTCACGTGCTCCAGAGGGCCAAGGCCGTGAGAACCTTTTGCCCTGGGGAGTAGGAAAAATAACACTAACGCTAATACTTCGATTTCAGGCAATGGTGGTTGGAGGAATTGCGTTACAGATTGAGAATGAGGGAGAACTCCCCCACCCAGCTTCTGCTGTATGGAGCCCAGTCGCTGTATGTTGTGAAGCATGAATCACCACACTGGGTGGGTGCGTGTCACTTCTCCATTTCCAGATGAAGCAGAGGAGCTGAGGAGTCTCTGAAAAAGTTGACCTGGTTAGCGGTTACTCCAGACCCCGTGCTCACTGCCTCCCATACCCTAAAGGCTTGCACCAGGCGTGGCAGGCTAGCCAGGCACTGAGTCATTCTCACTGGCCTGGCTCCTGAAGCAGCAGGGTGGAACTGAGAGAGCCAGGCCCTTGCCAGGGTATCTCTGCTTCACTGGGTTTGGTGCTTCAGGGACTCCGGGCTCAGGGTTCTCGAAGCAGGCCAGGGACTGGAAGGTCACAGGGGAGAGGGACAGCAGCCCCAGGAGCAGGCTGGAAGGCACAGCCCACCTGGAGAGGAGAGGGAGCTCTGCTCCCTGGGCCAGAACGCGTGGGCTTCCTGAAGGGCCTCACACCCTGCTGTGGGAGAGCACTTCACTGCCGAGGTGACGTGGTAAGCTTAGAGGACGGAGCCGCAGCAAAACTCTCTTCTCACAGTGACTCAGCTCCTTGTCCCTGCTACCCCCACCTCTCCTCCAGTCTTGAGGCCATGTGGGCTTCTGCACAACTTTGCATGCCTGTGCCAGGATCAGGCTCCTCATCGCTGGTTCCCACCGTCCTTGGCCCCAAATATAATGATAGAGCCATCCCCTCATCTCCTGCTTTCCCACTATGAAGGCTCTCTGTATAACAAAGGCTCGATACAGATTTAGGCGGAAATGGGTAGTTACTGCAATACAGCGGAGACTACTGCCAGTAGAACACCAGCTACCATTGTCTCTGAATCCACCCATCAGTTGATACCGCTGGATTCCAAGTTACTGCCATGGATAGCTTCTCCCATCTGCCACTCAACCCACAACTCAAAGCCACAGCCCTCTAGGATGTCAAGGCAATAGTGAAATTCTTGGCACTTGATTTCTATAAGCACTTTCTCCTACCCCATCTACAAAGCATAGCTGAGACTGGGGACATTATCTGCAAACAAACAAGATCCTGAAAGCTGGAGAGAACAAGGCAGACTAGATAGCAGCCTCCAGAGGAGATGGTAGTGAGTTTCATGAGACTTACTCTTGTCTTGTGTGTCTCAGACTATGCGCCTTAGATAAACTGGCAACTCACACATGCCCATAGCACAAGCAAACAAAAGCCACTGAAGCAAGAAAAGGTCACAAAAGGAGGTAACCTGGCAAGACAAAAAACATTTAGATAATAGCTTCTCTTTAATAGCAAACATCACAGAAAAACTGGCTCCAATCCCTCCCAAGACAACAAAGTAGGAGGGCAGAGCCTAGAATTCCACTGTTGCCCAGCCAGAAGTGGTTTCCCAAGCCCCAGAGGGTAATGTCAGAGAACCATAGAAGCCAGGATGTTCATCCCTCATAGGAAGTAGTAACCCCCCTCTTTTTGAGGTTCAGTGGAGAACTCTTGGGCAACCTGAGCCACCATCCCCACCAGATAGTAATAAAATTTGTTCTTGCTTTGCCATGGGGCAGTGTCAGAAGAGGCCCAGGGAAAGGGCAAAGCTTTCCACTGCCCAGAAGTAGCAAGACCACCCCCCAACAGTGTCAGTGAAGGCTACGTGGACTGAGTACCTCTGGCCCTGCAGCCAGGATGCAGCAGCAGCAGAGGTATCATGTCCACAGCATTCAAACAAGAACCTAAACTTCCAACCCTGTGTGGCAGCACTGAGATGGAACCCTTTCCCCCCCTGTGGTGATGTCAGAGGAGTTCAGTTAAAAGAGAATTAAGCAAGATCCCGAATTTCATCACTCGAACCCAGAAATTACTCTTTATATTCAGAACCAAGAATGCTGTAACTGGCATAAAAAAGTGAGCAGATGCCACCAGTACCTGACGTAGATAATAAAATTATCTGATGTGGATTTTGAAGCAACCATCCTAAAATGCTTCAGGTAGGAATTAGGAACATATTTGAAACAAGTAAAATGTCTCAATAAAGAGAAAGAAGATATAAATAATAACTATTTGTAAATTTTAATGGGAAGAAAATGTGCAAATGAGAAGGGAAACAAGGTGGGGGAGGAGAAAAACGAAGGAAAGGACAAGAAGAAAAAGAGAACAGAAGGACAAAACGGAAACAGAGCTTTTGTAAATAAGGAGTGGAAGAGGGCTTGAAGGAAGGGAAGGAGAATGGGAAAAAAAGAAGAAGCAAGATATATCAGGTACAGGTAAAAATTCCCTGTGATGAGTGTTATAATTATGTATATATAAAATGTATCAATAAAAAGTGTTAAAATAATCAAAATTGAAAGTTCAGCAAATGTGAACAACAAAATGGAAAGAACCCCTTGAAGATACAACAATAAAAGTGATCCAATTTGAACAACATGGAAAGTAAATTTTAAAATAAAAAATAAACATGCCAGTGATCAATGGCAGCATGACAGAAGATCTACCAACCACATCATTAAAGCGACAGAAAGAGAGGTAAAAAAAGGGTAGAATTTAAAAAGTAACTGAGACATAAAGGCAGAAAAATCCACAAATTTAACAAAAAATCATAAACCCATAGACCCAAGACACTGAACTAACTCCAGAGAATAAATTCAAAAAAACCAATACCAGACACATTCCAATCAAACTTCTGAAAATTAGAAACAAACAAGCAAACAAAACATATTGTGAGAATAGCAAGAAAGAAATGATATTTTCCTATAGAGGAAAAGCGATTTGAGTAGCAGTAAATTTCTCATCAGAAATAATGGCTATTGGTGTATAGCACAATACTTTTCAAGTGCTGAAAGACAGGAGCTCTCAGTGCAGAATTCTGTTTCCATTAAGAATGTCCTTTAAGAAAGAGGATGGAATCAAGATATTTTCAGTTGAAGGAAAGCTATGAGAGTCTGGCACCAAAGGACTTAGGCCAAAAGAATGGCTAAAGGAAGTACTCAAAACAGAAAGGAAGTA